GCAGCTATAACCCATCTGAATTTTGTGCAAAGAGAAGGGATGGACAAAAGCCAGGAGCAAGGCAGAGTTGAAGATGTCATGTCTGGGATGTGCTGCCTGCTCCCTGGGAGATTCAGGAGGCAGGTGAGGGGCAAGGGCTTACAGATCCATTACAGATGGTGAATGCATTATAAATTCTGAGTACAAAAGCAGGCAGGGAATGCTTTCCCAGTCGGTACTTTGGGGGTCCCTGCAGTGCTGCAGTAGCACTCTGGGGCCCGTCCCACGGTCAGTCTCCAGTCCTGGATGTGAGTGAGCCTTAGCCAAGCTGTGCCCAGGCTCCCTCCATGTCCCTGCAGATCCCTCAGCTCCCAGCACCTCTGCCTGGACTGCGGGCTCTGGGTGCTGCTTGCACCAGTGGCACCCCCTCAGGACTTCTGGCTTTGCATTGGTGTCACTCTGTCCTTCTCCTTCCTCTGCACTGTCAGATCCACAGCGATCCATCGTGTCCTGGGCGCTGCCCCAGCCCTGCTCGGCTGCGCCGGCGTTTCTGCCTCCGGCACACGCGGGGCAGTGCCAGCCACAGCTGCCACTCCAGAAACGCCCATCACCGCCACCTCGGGCCGGCATCCCCTCACTAACCCTTCCCTTTCTCCCCCCAGCCGCCACCTGTGAGTTCTTGGACATCGTGGAGCTGCTGCTGCAGTCGGGAGCCGACCCCGGGCTGCGGGACCACGAGGGCTGCCTGCCCGAGGAGGTGACGGACTCCAAAGCCATCACTTCGGCTCTGCAGCAGCACGGCCCCGCCGAGCCCTGACCCCGGGGGCACGGAGATGCCCTGCAATAAAACCCCGTCCTCCTCCCCACTGCCCTCCCCAAACACCTCGGGGCTTCGAGGGGACCTTTCAAAGCACAGGGTCTGGCTGGGCTCTCCAGCACGAGGGCCAAGCTCATGCCCTGAGCAGGACAGCGTCAGAGCTCAGCATGCTCTGACGTTCATCAGTGTTTGAGGGGGGAGGGAGAGGGCCTGGAGGAGGCTCCAAGTATTATTTTAATGGATCAAACATGAGTACTGTATGGGCTGTCTCTCCAGAGCAGCGTGGGCTGACCTGTCGGCTCCTCCGTGGGGATGCAGGGCCAGGTGAGATGCTCATCTCTCCCGTTCAGGCTGAATTTTGGTTGTTTTGTTTTTTTTTTTTCCCTGGGTCCAAACAAGTAATACAAATAAAAGCACAGTGTTGGGATCAAGCCTCGGTGTGTTTGTTTAGTTTTGGGGTTTTTTTGCAGAGGGTGACTTGGAAGCCATAAGAATGGGAGGCAGCTCAGTGCAGCCATAACCCTTGGGAAGTCCTGCTGGAGCTCTTGTCCTGGGGAGGGAGAGCTGCAAAGACAGCAGGGTCATACAGGTGTCTGTCTGTCCCTCTGGTTCTCACACAACACGTGTTGCTAATCAGCCTCTCCAAGCTGACAGGACTTCAACCGCTTTGCTGAATTGGATGGCTTTAAACACCACCTCAGCCAGTGGCTCCAGGGCCTCCTGCTGTGTGTCCATCCCTGGAACAGCTCTTCCAGGACTGAGGTCTGGTAAGAGCTGAGCACAGATAAACCTGTACCCACCCTGTCACCCTTCTGGGTCTGTCTCAGACACTTCATGATCATCTCAGCTTGCCAAGTTCCCAGAAAGGGGGAAAAACTGCCTTGTGGCCATACCTGAGTGCTGGAGTGATGTGGGATGATGATGAGGTTTAATGCTGCCTCACTGGCTTCCTCATTAGCATCCAAAGTGGGTCCACGGAGCTGCCAGGGGTGGGTTTGTGCTGTGGGATAGCTCCCAGCTGGGAGGAGGCTGCTGCACTGGGTGGGTGTGTGGCAAGAGGAGCCCGTGGCTTCCCTGTGGGATATTGCCATGAGCTTGCTTTTCCCAGACAAGATTGACGGTCTGGGGGGAGCAGAGGAAATCTCCGTGGCTATGACAGGGAGCTGCTTGCCCCATCAGGCTCTGCAGCACATCCAGCCTCAGGAAAATAAATGGGAACATTCCCTTGGCTAAGGAGTGGCTGGGCAGCAGGCACACGTGGGCTTTGGCCCCTCGCGGTGTCTGTGGCTCTGCCAGCGTTTGCTGACGCCTGCAAAATCACCGCGCTGGCTCCAGCAGCCACCACACCACACAGAGCACAGGCCAGGCTCCATGCTGGGGACAAAACGGCCTGGGCAGGTTATTTTCCAATAACTTAATATTAAGCAAGACCCCCCAATAGCTTCTGCTCCCCTTGCCCCTGCCCAGGGCAGCTGCAGGCTGGCAGTGGCTGGGCTCATCACAGCCTGGCGCTTTTGCACGCGGATGCAGATGGAGCAAGGACGCCAACCCCAATACTGGGGTCACACTGACTTTGTGAGGGAGGTGGCACCAAGGTTGGGGACAAGCAAGGCCACCCCTGTGCAGGGCAGTAATGCACAGCCACTCCCTGGCTTGATGGACATGCTGGGTAATAAAAAATCTCTGTTAAAGCCGGGATGAAAAGCAGCAGCCACGGTGCCGCTGCTTTCAGAGAGCACATTTGGGGCCCGAGCGCTCAGCCCTGGAGATGTTTATAGCACTTTAGGTCTGTTTGTGAGGTTGGAGCCTTTCCAAAAAAAAAGAAAGCAGGGGTGGGGGGGAGGGGGAAGAGAGAAAGACATATATTATTGTTTATAATCTGCTTTATTCAGCCAAACCTTTCCCCAGCAGCCTTGCAGATTGCTGTTAAATCCCTTGGTGCCTTTAACTACCGATACAGAAAGTGGTTAATGTGCATTCACCCTAAGCTTGGCATCTACTCCAGGAAATCACTTTAATTGAGAAGCATTAAATGTTAAAATGATTAAAATATAGAAAGCCAACACACCGGTGCCCACGGAGGGGCTTGCACCCCTCTGCCCCTCCTGCCTGGCATGGCCCTTCCATCTCACCTGTGCCCACCAAGCACTGTGGTGGCACGGCCAGGCACCCACTGTCACTGCTGCGTGGTGGCAGGAAAGCTGTGCCACCTTGGGCAGCCATGGAGATTCCCACCCAAACCTCTCTGTGCCAGCAAAAAGCCAGGGCACGATGACCAGTGCCACTGATTCCATCACCCAGGGATGTCAGTGCCACCATCCAGACACGACCCCAGCAACAGCCAACAGTGCCAGAGCAGGCAGTGCCAGTGGTAAGCACTGCCCTCCCAAAGGAAGAAAATCCCAAAGACAGCAGCTGCTAAAAAGCATCCCGAGTTTATTTGCCATCGCTTTCCCTCACGGCGAGGGGGTGACTGTACACATCTCATGCCAACACACTAGAGGCAGGGTACAAAAGCAACGCCCTGGGCTCGAATCCGGGGGCAATTTGGGGAGGTCATTTCTCCCCAAGACATGGCAATAAATAAGGTTTTATTCTTTAAAATTTTTTATTATTATTCTTTTTCCTGGGGTTTAATTTTTTTTTCCTTTTTATTCCCCCAGGAAACAAGACTCTTACTTTCTGGAACTGTACAGAATTTACACAGCGAGGGGAGGAGGCATTTGGCCTTGTCGAAGGGGGATGGGGAGCAGCAGGCACAGCTCTGCCCCGTCCCCCTCTCCACCAGGGCCAGCAAGGCCAGGAGCTTGGCACCAAGCAGCACCCAAGGCTGGGGAAGGGGGAGGCACGTGGATGCAGATGGGGCAGCTCCTGCAGCACCAAGGCACCCAGCTGGGGGGGCAAGGAAGGACAAGGACAGACCAGTGATGTGCTTTCTCATGTGGCTTTTCTCTTTTTTTTTTTTTTTTTTTTTTTTTTTTTTTATTTTTTATTTTTTTTAAATTCTTTTTATCCCTCTGCTTCTGGAGCCTCCACACCTCCAGAAGGAGCTGACTAAGTGAATCCACCCCCAGCCCGCCCTTGAAGGGCAGCCTGAGAGCATCAGCATTACCCCAGAGACAGAGAGGATGGCAGGGACTCCATGGCCGGGGCATCCCTTTGGGGCTGGGGCAGAGCTGGGCATCCTGGGCAGAGAGTGTGGAGCTGGATCTTATCCATGGGGCTGAAGGTCTGAGGGTAGGGGGTGTGGCTGTGCTGGAGGAGATGGGCATGTGGGTTTTGAGCAGGGGCTAGTGCTGAGTGAGCCTAGCCAGGAGCAGACCCCATGGAGCTTGTGGGACGTGCCAAAGCCGCCGGGATCCTTCCTGGCTGCCCGCACTCACCCTCTGGTACCATCAGACCCACGGCTGGACCAGGAGCACCTCACACCCCAATCACCTCCCCTTCCCACCACGCGGGTGCTTTTGCAGCTGACACAATTCCTGCTCCCCTACTTGGGAGGAATTATTTTGCAGTGGCCTCAGACGTTGCCCACCTCTCTCACCCACCCCTCCAGTGGCTGCTCTGCAGGTGCCAGCCCCAGGCACCCCGGCTGGCCCTGCCGTGGCACAGCTTGGCCGGTGGGCATCCCGGGCTGGAGGCAATTTTTACAATTCCTTCCCCTCGCGTGACCATGGTACAAAGCAGCGGCGCTCCTGCGTGCCCAGGGATAAATCACGGCCGCTAGGCCAGGAGCAGGCAGGATCGCCGCCGGGCAGCGGGGCAATGGCCCTGCCCGGACGTGTCCCCGGCAAAATAAACCCTTCTACAATATAGACTTCTCTTTCTGCGGAGGCTCCGGGCAGCGCCCGGCTGCGTGTCAACACCATATCGAAAAATAACTCTTGAGGACAGCAGCGGCGCTCGGCAGGGCGGGCCGGGCCGGGCTCTGCCGCCCCTGGCTGCTCTTCCTTCCCTCCGCCGGCCCCGCCGCGGCCGGCTCCTCGCCGAGCGCCGCCGCTCTTGTGCTTACACCCAAAGGCATCCGCGCCCCCCGCCCCAGCACGGCCACCCCGGCCAGCGCCGGTGCCGCCCCCCTCCCTGCAGCCCTCCAGGGCCGATTCCCGTGGGATCTCCGGAAGGCTCAGCCGCCGGCGGGTGCCCTCGGTGCTGCGCTTGCGGGCCGGGGGGAGCGCGGGGGGCCGGGGCGGGGGGCGAGCAGCGCTTAGAAAGGGGGGTGATCCATGTCGTCCAGCCAGGAGGCCGGGCTGGTGGGAAAGTCTGGGTACCCGACGCTGCTCCCCGTGGAGATGTCGGAGGTGGGGCCCCCCCCGGCCATGGCCCGCAGCGTCTGACTCACCCCCTGCGCCCCGTGGGCCACCAGCCCCAGGCTGCCGTCCACGGCGTAGTCCAGCCCGTTGAGCAAGGGCGGGTGGGCCGGCAGGGACGAGATGGAGGACGGCGACTGCGGGAGGCCGTAGGGGCTGCCGTCCCGCAAGTCCTGGTACGTCTGTCCCGTGCCCTCCACCGAGAAGCCGCCGTTCAGCAACTGTCCGCCCGCCACGTCCCCCACGGAGCCGTAAACCCTGTTGTTGTGGCCGAGCTCGGAGAGGATCTGGTCTTCTGCCGGGGACAGGAGGGAGAGCGGGGCCGGGGGGTCAGCGCCGGGGGCAGCCCCGCCGCCCCCCGGCCCCGCTCGGGCGCCGCGCTCACCGCGGAAGCTGAGCTCGCTGTCGCTGACGCCGCAGTCCTCGGCCGAGCTCTCCTTCTCCAGCTTCCCTCCCCCGCGGCTCCGCTTCACGCTCTTGTAGAACTGCCCCCAGCGATGCCGCCCCGCGTCCTTCTTCAGCCGCTTCTCCTTGGCCCGCCGGTTCTGGAACCACACCTGGAGCGGGCAATGGGGACAGCGGTGGCACCGGGGCGCCCCCGCCACCCTGGCAGTCCTGCATGGCAGCACCCCTGTAATCCAGCGCCTCTGCAGCCCAGCACCCGTGAAACCCAGCGCTCCAGCATCCCGGCACCCCTTACACCCCAGCACTCCTACATCCATCCCAGCACCCTGGCACACCAGCACCCTGGTATGGCAGCACCAGCATCCCTAAACCCTGCAAACCTGCATGCCAACACTCCTAGCCCCAGCTCCCGCACCCCCATGCAATCCCGCAGCCCTGCAGCCCAGCTTCCAGGCGCTCCCATCACCCCAATACCCCCGTGACCTCCGCATCCCCTAAAACCCAGCCTCACAGAGGGTCGCCTTCTCTTGGGGCAGGGTGGAGAGGGGCACCCGCGGCCTCACCTGCACGACCCTCATGTCAAGCCCCGTCTCGGAGGAGAGCTGCTCCCGCACGTGGCGGGCGGGCTTGGGGGAGTTTTTGTAGGCGTTCTTCAGCGTTTCCAGCTGCTTGGCCGTGATCGTGGTCCGGGGCCGCTTCGCGCCCGCCTCGGAGTCATCTGCAGGCGAAGGAGGCGGTAGCAGCCGCTGGGGAACATCTCCCCAAAAGCGGCTGCCCCGGAGCCCGCAGCGGCACCTTCCCGCAGGCAGCCCAGCGGGCACGGCCGCCCCCGTGCCTGCCGTGCCCCCCGCAGCCTTTCCGGGGTGCCTACCGTGCCCCCCGCAGCCTTTCCGGGGTGCCTACCGTTCTGCTTGGCAGTCTCGTAGTCCTCCTTGCAGACCAGCCGCCCGTCCTCCATCAGGTAGAACTCGTCGCCCGTGGCCAGCTGCCGGCTGCAGATGATGCAGGCGAAGCAGTGCAGGTGGTACACGAAGTCCTGCGCTTTGCGGACCACCTGGGTCGGGGGGATGCCCTGCTGGCACGCCGTGCATTTGGTCCCGAAACGCCTGCGAGGAGAAGCGGGCGACCCTGAGCCCCCCGGCGAGGTGGGGTTCGCCGGGATGGGGGGCAGGAGACAGGGCAGAGTTTAAACCAGCAATCAACCTTATTATGCATGACACTTCACACGGCGGGGGTTTATCTTCCTCAGAGTGAGAGACCGGCCTAATGGAGCCGAGGAAGGTTTGATTTTAATGATTCTTTTAACTAATGCTTATAGGCTGCCTGATTTTTCCCCTGCAAGGACAGTACATATTTCATCCACATTAATACCAAATAAATTAATTACGCAGCCCCGCTGGCATGATGAATCCCAGATTAATGCAGAATGATGGGGCTCTTACACCATAACGATGGGCTGACAGGGGCGTGGGGTGGGCTGGGCTGGTGTGGGGCACGAGCAAAGCTGCCGGCACGGCTGCAGGAGTGTGCAAGGGACACGGGAGAAGTGTGGCAGCAGCATGCAAGGTGAGGGTGGAAATGGGAAAGGAAGTTCGGAAGGAGCACGGTGCAAGGAGTGTGGGAGCAGCGTGAAAGAAATGTGCAAGGATGGCACAAGAAGGCGGCAGGAGAGTGGAAGATTCATGCAGTAAATGCGAAAGGAATATGCAAGAATGGTGCAAAAAGTGTGCAAGGGGAGAAATCACTGAATAAAGGATTAAAGGTGCTATGAGGAGGAAGCCAAAAGTAGGTGGATGTTCCACCAGTGTTTTTGGCAAGAGATGTTATGGGACTGAGCTGGGGCAGATCCCCACCTCCCACTGGCACCACAGGGCTCTGCGAGGTCTCCCCCACTCCCCAGAGCAGCCCTGAGCACCCCAGAGCCATCCCGGTGCCGCAGCCCAGGTGACAAAGCTGTCAGAATAAATCTGCCCCTGTCTGCTTTGAAGGAGGCAGCACAGGAACACCCCATCCCTTTGGCCCCAGCCCCGAGGCTGCGGGGACAGGCAGTGACATTTGAGTGCCAGGGTGAGCAGCCACTGCAGGCACCTCTGGCTGTCCCCTGAGGCCTGAACATCCCCCGGTCGTGCAAAGTCACCCTCAAGCCCCATGGCTGCTCATCCCCTCCGGAAATCCAGGCACAGCCACCGAAGCTGGGGCTCTGGGACTGTCCCTGAGCCACGCAGCTGTCACCCAGGGATGGGTGGCAGATACTGGGCATGAGTGGTACCAGCACGATTTTGGGGTGTTGGAAGCAGAAGGTGAGAAGGAAAAACCTGGTTTATCTCATTTTCTGGACTTGTATCCTAAAGAGAGAGTCCCTGGACATCTGCTGGGGAGACCTCAGCTTTCCTGAAGTCAGATGGGAGGGAAGGTGGGAGAGGAAGGGAGAAAGTGGGAGAGGGGTGAAGAGGAGATGGACAAGAGAGAGGGAGGGAGGGAGGAATGATAGAATGGAGGATAAAGGGAGGGATGCAGGGAGGGTGGGAATGGAGGGGAGGAGGGTGGGAATGGAGGGGAGGAGGGTGGGAATGGAGGGAAAGAGGAAGGCGGGCAGGAGAGAGGGATAGGATAAACAGAGGACGCTTTTCTGCTCTCAAGGCTGAGCTGGTGCCCACTCTGCAGCCCCCATCCACTGCCCATTCACCCCCTCTCACAGATCTCTGTAAAAGCCATTTTAACAACTGTCCCGACACCCCGGGGTGCTTCCACATCATCACAGGACCCAGGACAGAGCCTAGGACCAAGAGCTGCAATTCGGGGGAAGGAAAAAAAAAAAGACAAAAAAATAAAAAATCGATCTGATCCTTTCCAAAGCAGCTCCTGCATTGCCAAGTGCCTCTGAAGTTGTTGGGCTGAAATCCTCACGTCCCCTGCAGGTTCCCTAGCCCGGATCAATGAGCGGTTAAGGAAAGGTGAGGTGCGAGCGCCGAGCTGCTATTGATTGGCACCAAATAATCCAGGCAGGACCTCATCTGAGAAAGTCGCTGATCTTTCAACTCCAATTAACATTGATTACCCGCACCTTTTGGGCGACTATTTAAATGACTCGGAGATTAATAGGCTGGAAAATATCAGAAGTGAAGTGTTATTACCCAGGCTGGAGTGGCCGCTTTGACCGTCTCCGGGAAGGAGAAATCCGAGCTGCATCTTTGGTCCTGATGCCTGATGAGGATCTAGGAGAGCCTGGGGATGGGAAGGCAGGGAAGTCCTGTCTAGGGACTAATGGTAGTGGCTTTAGGATTGTGATGAGGGGTAGTGGGGACAGCCCGTGTGGCTCGTCCGGAGTGGGAGATGATGGCACGAGGAGGTGGCTTTAGTCCCCAAGGGGCAGCAGCTGCTGCATCCCAGCAGTGAAAGGCATCCCTCGGCCAGGATCCACCCCCTCTGCTTCACGGCGATCCAGTCCCAGCAAAAAAACCTTCTCTATCCCTTGGGAAAACTCCCACATTTCACCGGCAGTCAGGGACCAAAGCATCCTAAAGGCAAAGTCCATTTTTAATGGGGAACGGGTTGTCCTGTCTCGTGGGAGCAGGGAAATGCCAAGGCTGGGGCATCGCACAGCTCAGAGGCAGCTGCCAAGGCAATCAAATGAGGTTTTCACATTAATGGGAGAAAAAAAAAAAAAAAA